GCCGCAGACCTCAGGAGCAGCCGCGGCGCCCGGCCTCGCCCAGGAGCCCCGCCAGGCCCAGGGGCACTGGGAGGGACGAGAGAGGCGCCGAGGGGACACGCTGGACCGTCCTCCCTCCTGGGCAAAGTCCCCGCCCGCGGCGACCCGAGGGCAGCAGGCAGGCCTGGACTCCCCAGCCCCGCCAGGCCCCCAGCCCCACCAGGCCCCCCAGCCCCGCCAGGCCCAGGGGCCCCAGCCCTCACCTGCAGTGCCGTGGTAGCCCTCCACGTGGAGGCGGTAGAATTCAGCGGCCGAATCAACGCGGAAGGAGTCATATTGGGCAAACACCGCCTCATCCCCAGCCCGCAGGTCTACACGCAAGGAGTAGTCTCCGGCTTTGGTCAGGCTGTGCAGGGCCTCGTTGCCTGGGGGGTGGGAAGCATGTTCTCTTCAGGGCCCCCAAGCCCTCCGGCCTCCCCGCCCCTCCCGGTCTCCCAACCCCTGAGGCACTGACCCAGCCAGAACTCCCTGGAGACGTTCCCAAAGCCGTGCGCGTAGTCCTCCCAGTCCCTCCAGAAGTCTGTTTGTCCATCCATGCGGCGCTGGAACACCTAGGAAGCAGGTGGGGGCGCTCAGTCTGGGGCACGGGAGCAGCAGCCCCTGCCCTGGGCGGAGCCCCGGCTCCCGGCGGCCACCCACCAGCCAGCCGCCCCCGTCGGTCTCCATGTCACAGAACACGTTCAGGGGCCGCTCGCGGTTGCCGTTGAGGAAGACAGTGGTGGTCCTGGAGGTGCCGGCCCCGTTCTGCATCTCCTCCCCGCAGTCCCGAGGGAAGGGGACCTGCAGTCCACCTGGGAAGAGGAGATTGGGGGGGCTCATCCTCGTTGCAAGCCCTAGACCCCTGGGCCCCTCAGCCCCGCCTGCAGGTCCAGGGCAGAGTACCGGTGGTGAAGGAGGTGGACACCGGCGGCGTGAAGCTCTCGCCCCACATGGCCCGCAGCCACGCGTTGTAGGGGGTGGAGGGAAAGAGGCCCAGGAGCTCGTGAGAGGTGACGCCTCCTGGGAGCAGGATCTCCTGTGGGACATGAGGCGAGTCAGGAGCCAGGCTGAGGGGGGAGGCTGCTGCCTGGAGGGGAATGCAGGGAAGGAGCTGACCCGTGGTGGGGGGGGGAGGGTACAGGGGTGGGGGTTGACCAGTAGGTGAAGGCACCTGCGGCTGCTCTCCAGGGGTGCTGAAGCTGAGCAGGTAGCCAGTTGGCGGATCATGGGGCTCAGTCCAAGTGAGCAGGGCAGTGCGGGGAGTCACTTTCTTGGCCTCCAAGTGCCCCGGGGGCTCTAATCCTGGAAGAGGGAAGAAGAAAGAGAAGATGGAGGTGAAGCCCATCCTGGCTCCCAAGCACCTCCTCTCCCTCAGCGGCACCCCAACCCCCGCCCCCTACACCTCCCATGCTTTACCTGTGGTGAAGGTGATGCTGGCCGGAGAGGTGAAGTTAGGGCCCCGAAGGCCCCTCACCGTGGCCGTGTAGTTGGTCTTTTGCTCGAGGCCAGTGATCGGGTAGTCCACAGCGCTGCCGGGGGCTGAGCCCTGCACAGAGGGGGCTGGGCGTGGAGGTGGGGGCGTCAGAAAATGTGGAGAAAAGTGGGGGAAAAAAGTGGAAAAAAAAAGTGGAGAAAAGTGGAAAATGTGGAGAAAAGTGAAGGAGGGGCGTGGAGGTGGGGGATTCCTGTCGGCCCCCCGGCTGCCCCACCGGGACAAGTTCCCTCCAGGAGCCTCGGGCCTGCTCACCCTTTGGGGCTGTGACCCGCACGTCATATTCATCCACAGCGGTGTGGGGGGGACTCCAGCGCAGCACCACGGATGAATTCGTCAGGTTCAGCGCATGCAGATTGGTGGGGCCGTCAGACACTGGGAGGAGGGAGGGGCCCAGAGCTGACCCACGCCTGGCCCTCACCTTCCCGAGCTGCTGGGTCTCTCCTCTGGAGGGAGCTTCCGTTACCCCCTTTCCCACCCCACTCTCCACCCCGCCCACACCCTTATTTCCTCCCCCACCTCCCGTCTGAGTCCCGATCCAGCTCACCGGTGGTGAGGAAGCCTGTGAGAGGCTCGCTCTCCTCAAAGCCACGGACAGAGACCACGGTCACCTCGTACCGAGTGCCCGGCACCAGCTTCTCAAGTTTCTGGGTCTGAGCCCCGCCGTCCACCTGCATGCTCTGTGGCTCCCCTGAAAGCATACTAGGTTTGGGAGGGTGCCCAGGGTAGCGGAGGTGGGGAGTGGGTAGAATCTGGGAGTTGGGGATACAAGGGACAAAGGACAGAGGGAGCATGAGGATGTGGGCAAAAGGGTGTCACCTCCGTCTGCCAGCTGGTAGGAAACTTTGAAGCTGTCCACTCTAGATAGTGGGGGCGTCCAGTGGACCTTGGCTGAGGTCTCCCCAACTTCACTGAAATTGAGGTCACGGGGGCTCTCCAGAACTGAGGGAAGCAGCGCCAAGGAATGCTGGTGAGGGCACTGGCCAGGGAGGTGGCTGCCCCAGGGTTCCAAGACCTCCTCCCTGGCCCCCCGCCTCCAGACAGCTCCCACCACCCCTTTCCTCTAGACTGGGAAACGAAGCCACTCAGTAACGCCTCGAGCCCTGCAAGCACCTCTCCCACCCTGTGAAGCACAAGGACCTCCCGCTTTGGGCCAGCTTGGAATGTGCTGGTGTGGGGCCCACCTGGGCTGAGGGTGCGGGCAGTGCCCTGGATGCTGTCAGCCTTGTGGGGCCCCCGCAGTCCATACAGCATCAGGCTGTAGAGGGTCCCTGGGCTCAGGTCCCGGAGCACGGCCGAGTGCTCTGTCCCTGGCACCTTTAGCTCCCGCTGCAGCAAGGGGTGTGAATAGGGCTCCAGAGTGCTCGGTAATGGAACCCCAAAACGCAGCAGGAAGGAGTCAAAGGCCCCAGGCGGGGCCTCCCAGCTGAGCCTCATGGAGCTGGTGGTCACGTCACTCACGGACAGCTGGGACAGGTGCGGCCCCAGCTCCCCTGGGGTCAGCCCGGCAGGCGCTGGCCCTGCACAGAACGGGTGGGCGACAGATACACACAGCTCAGTGACCTGGGGCAGGTCCCCACTGCCACCCCACCCTCATACAGAGCCAAGGGCTGCTAGTGTACCCTTTCTCCCCCGATGGACCCTCCTCATGTCCTTTCCCTATAGTCATCAGTTCTGGGCATCCCCTTTTATCTTCTCAGTCACAGACCAGAGGTGGGTGAGGCCAAATGCAGGGCCCTGGCTGGCAGTACCTGTGGTGCCCTCTGCTGAGATGGGGCCCAGGCGCTTCCCGTCCTGAAGTCCATAGAGGAAGAATTTGTAGGAGGTGCTGGGCTCCAGGCCTGATACGAGGACCTTGTCCTGGTCGCCACCCACGAGCAAGGCCTGAGGCTGCCCATCCTTGTCCCAATACTGGACCACGAAGGAGTCAAAAGGGCCCTGGGCCACACTCCATGAGAGGCGCAGGGAGTCCGGGGCCACGTCATTCACTGCCAGCACCCCTAGACGGGGCCCTGCAGGAGATGTGGGGGTCTTTGTGGCCGAGTCGGGGGAGGCTGGTGTATCTTCTGGAGCTGCACAGGAGAAACCCAGGAGAGAAGCTAGGTTGGGGGTGCAACGGGGCCCTCCCCGTCCATCTCACCTTTCAGAGAGGGAGTCCCAGGGCTGGCCTGAGGCTGAGGTAGGGACTTTGGGAGTTCTGGTTATGGCAGGAGGCATGAAGAAGAGAGGGATCAACGGTGGTGCAGGGGTTAACGTCTCAGCACGATCAAGGTATGGCCAGCCACCCAGGCATGAGTTCGCTCTCCGGCCAGGGAGCTGACCCACATGGCCCAGCAGACCTCTCCTGTCTCACCAGTTGCTCCCCTCAGCAGGGTATTTCGGTAGATCTACCTCTTCTGTTACCCACTCTGTCTCTGGTGAATCCTCTTACCCCCCACACCTCTGGCCTATACCCCAGTTCATTTATGCATCAATAAATAAAATCCATCTTTAAAAATAATAAAAGAAGAGAGGGACAAAGCATCGCCTCTAGCATCTCGCCTCTTGATCTGCCACATCCCTGCTTTTCAATTGACCCCTGTCACCCTGGGCTCTGTGAGTGCCAACACTGGCTCTATTGCCCCTCTGTGGGGCATCTTTGCTGTTTCTGGACCCCCCTTCAGCCCAGTGTCCCCTAGCACCCCAACTCCAGATGACTACACAGGCCATCTTCTCCTCCCCCCACCAGGGACACCTGTGCCAGCCACCTGAGGGAGGAGTAACTGAGTCCCCCCCACGCCCACCCCGGAGCTCACAGCACAGGGTCCTCCCTCCTAAGGAAAGTCAAGGATGGGGCTGGGCTGTCCAGTGACTTCCGAAGGCGACTTACACCAGCCAGCTTGGCCCACCTGCCCAGCCAGGCTGCTCTGGCTGCCCTTGGGGTGTTGTCACTCTGAAGAGGTGCTCGCCCCATCAGTGCAGGCTCTTCTGTTGAGCATTTGAGATAATGCTCCTGAGTCCTCCATGGAAGGAAGCTGTCCTAATCTGGGGAAAGCTGTCCAGCGGGCACAGGACCCAGGGGAGCAAGGGGGTGCACCTGGCAGTGCTGGGTAAGAAGCTGTGGACTGATGCTGGGCCTTTCCTCATTGCCTGTGCTGGTTCCTGCTCTTGACCAAGGCCCTGGTGCCCGCTGGAGCTGGCTGGCCCCGCTGCACTCCTCCTGCGCCTGGGCAGGACTCCCAGTTCCTGCCCACTCCTGCCAGTCTCTTCCCCTGTGGTGCAAAGGCTCAGGATGCCCACCCAGCCTCCTGATCACCTGTCACTCCCAGGACAGAGACGGGGCCCAAGCGCTGTCCTCGGAGGAGCCCGTAGAGCAAGAAGTTGTATGTCCTGCCAGGTGCCAGGCCCTCTACGGTGACCTCCCGCTGGTCTGAAGCCGCAGGCACTGTCTTGAGCTGCCCCTCTGAGTCCTCATACTGGACCACGAAGGAATCAAAGGGGCCCTGGACCACTGTCCACGAGAGGCGCAGAGAGTGTGGGGTCTCATCCGTCACAGTCAGCACCCCCAGCTCCTTCTTCAGGGAAGCTGTGGGGAGAATAGGGGAAGAACTCTATCAAGAGCTGCCTTTATTCAGCCCTGGCCACTTCCGGGGAATGAGAGGGTCTGCAAAGGGCCCCTGAAGTGTGGCCACTTGGACAGTGAGCTGAGGAGACAGATGCGCCTGCTCTAGGCTGCCCTGTAGGAAGAAGGGTGAGTGGCCTGGTCTGTTCCCTCCCCTCCCAGGTCCCTGCCTGAATCCCCTCCTGCCCCCACTCCCTTCCCACTGGGGTCAGGGTGCATTAGCTGCACAAAAGTCCCCTTGTGAGAGGGCTAGCTGGGGGTGCAGAGCAGGACCTCAATTTCCCCCTTGGTCTGGGCAGTGATGCAGCGGGAACTCACAAGGCTGCCAGGGGTATCCAGGCTGTCTGGGAGATGCCTCCAAACAGAGGGTGCTGAGCAGCCAGCTAAGCTCAGGGACTCCCCACAGCTGGCCATGGCCTCCCCTTGCTCACCATCAGTCTGGGCCTCCTGCCCCTGCTTCCCAGCACTGCACCATCACCACCAGATCAGCGCAGCCACTGGAGGCAAGGGCAGAGCGGAGCACAGAAAAGACTCGCCAAGGCAGGGAGGGTGTTGACTGATGGGGGTCAGAGAAGCCTGCATCCAGGCCACAAAATGAGGGTTTGGGGAAGAGAGCTGCAGAGCCTGCAGGCCCCAGGCCCCAGCTGGCCCTGTGCCCATCCTTGTCCGGTCAGGATGACTCACGGCCTTGGGAAGGGGGGTAAGGGTCAGTGACCCCCTCCACCCCTTCCTTGGGGGGCTGAGTCATGGGCACAATAACACCAGATTTTTCCGTAGTCTTTCTGCAGCCAAACCCTCCAACATTTTCCACCTCTTGCCTCAGAGTTGGACAGAGGGAGGAGGATGTGAACATCTGCTGAGCGCCAGTAGGTATTATTCATAACCATTATGCAGGTGTGGAAACTGAGGTCCAAGAGAAAGAAGTGGCTTATCCATGGCCATAGCAGACAGCTGGAATTTGAATACAGGTCTCTTTGACTGCCAAGCCAGTTTTATGGCACCGGAAGTCAGACTGGAGTCAGAAGAAACTTCAAGGGAAGACCATGGGGTCAGCTCTGGGGGTTCTTTCTGAAAGAGGCAGCTCTGAAGAGTGGGGGACTCACCCGTGCTGCCCTCAGCAGAGGCAGGGCCCAGCCGCTTCTTGCCTGCCAGCCCGTAGAGCAGAAATTTGTATTTCTTATTGGGCTCCAGGCCTGGGATGGTGACCTCGCGCTGGTCCGCGGCCACAGGCACCACCTGGGTCTGCCCGGCCCTGTCCTTGTACTGGACCACGAAGGAGTCGAATTCACCCTCCAGGACCGTCCAGGACAGGCCCACGGAGTCCAGGGTCACATCGGTCACTGTCAGCTCCCCCAGTCGGGGAGAAGGCTTACTGTCTGGGACTGGAAAGGAGAGAGGGGCATGGAGGAGGCCAGAAGCAGGGACAGGGGAGACAGAACTTCCTGAGCCGCTGGGTTTTCAGAGCTGGGAGCAGGGCAGGCCACAGGCCAGGGAGGAGGCGGCAAGGGAACAGGGTTCAGAGAGGAGCTAGGGACGAAGCAAGAAGCCCTCAGACGTAGGGAATAGGGAGAAGGAAGGACATGGAAAAGGAAGCTCAGGGCTCCAATTTCAGCAGAAAGAAGGGTCCGGAGCCTGGAGCCCAAATTTCAGCCGTTGCCACAAAAGCGAAGTTGCTAGGGACACTGGGCCCCGGGCGTCCCCGGTCCCACTCACAGGTCTTTGCTTCCGCAGACACCGGGCCGTGCCTTTTCTCATCCTGGAGTCCGAAGAGAAGGAACTTGTACTTGCGGGCTGGAACCAGACCCGAGACAGTGACTTCCCGGAGGTCTCCACCCACGGGCACTGCCTGGAGCTGGCCCTGCGCGTCCTTGTATTGGACCAGGAAGGAGTCGAAGGAACCCTGGGCCACTGTCCACGAGAGGTGTGCTGAGTCCGAGGTCACGGCTTCCACAGCGAGCTCCCCCAGGCGGGGAATCACAGGAGGCTCTGAGGGCAAGAAGAATGGGACAGAGCAGAGGAGCAGGGGTCACCCGCAGGACCTGGGCTGGAGAGGAAGTGCTTTCCCTGGTCTGTGGGCTGAATGACTGGGAGGAAACTCTTGTGAGGGCTACTGCCCCAGGGACTAGGGGAGCCGTTCACCAAAAGCACCAGGTCCTCACACAACATGGGAAGCACGTTCATTAGTATCACCCCCACTCTCTGGAGATCCATGGCACAGAGAAGTTAAGGAACAGTCGGTCACATCAGTGGTCAGTCCCTCCGGACAGGATTCACCCAGAGATGCTGGCTCTGGAGTCTCAAACTCAGCCACCAAGTGGCTGCTCGGGGAGCCTGAGGAAGCCTCATCTGAACTACCGAGCACATTGCAGGCTCTGGGTGAGGAGCGGGGAAGAAAGCCAAGGTCACAAGGCATCGTAACAGACCTTCCTAACTCTGGACACGTCTCCATCACCTCACTCACTCCAGGCTGAGTCATGTCCCACAGGAGGAAAGAGGGGAACCCACAGGCACACTGGTGAAGAGTGCTGAGACACAGCAAGGGAAATGGGGGGTAAGTGAGGGAAATCTGGGGACAAACTTATGCCCTCACTCACCAGTCGTTCCCACGGTGGACATGGGGCCCACTCGCCGGCCCTCGTGCAGGCCATACAGGTGCACCTTGTACTTGCGCCCCGGCTCCAGGCCCCGCACCGTGACCTCTCTCTCCTCACCGCTGACACGCACCACCTGCGGCCCGTCCCTGCCCTTGTACTGGACGCTGAAGGAGTCAAAATGGCCCTGGGGGACGGTCCAGGAGAGGCTCAGCGAGTCTGGGGAGGTGCCTGTCACGGTCAGCTCCCCCAGCACGGGCTCCTCTGAGATGGCTTCTGTAGGTTCGATTC